ATTTCAAAAGAATTTTCTCATTTATTACGTAGAATTTGTTTCCATTATTCTCACAATTATAATGGTTACTTATTCTTAGAATTTGGTAACCATTTTCCATTTTTAAGTACATATTCTAGGATGGCAACGAAGCGAGGCGGGCGGGGAGTATACTCCCTGTCCCCGTCACTGCGACCCCGTTCCCATCCCCGTCCCCAGCAGGGAATTGAAAAAATTCCTCATCCCTGTCCTAACGGAGAATTAGGCGGGGACGGGGATTCTCCATTCCCCGTCAACTCCTAGTCAAAATGTTAAATAATTCAAAATTTTAATAATAAAAAAATTAAAAATATATATATAAAATAATAATTATTAATTATTTGAGCAAAAAAATATAAAATATTTAAGTATATGATAATAAGAGCGTAAAATACATTTATTTATATATTTAATTAATTTCTATTAAATATTTGCTTACCAAAAAAGACTACATGAATATATAAATTTTATAATTAATTAAATTTTAGTCAACTAAACTTCACGCGGAATAAATCTTATAAACTAATTAATTAATTACCACAATATTCTTTCCATAACTAATTAGTCACATACGAAATATTTATGAAATATATATAGACTACTTATATATACACGGATATGAATATATAATTTTTATAATTAATTAAATTTTAGTCAACTAAACTTCACACGGAATAACTTTTATAAACTAATTAATTAATTACCATAACTAATTAGTCACATACTGAATATTTATGAATTATATATAGACTAATTATATATACATAGATATTACAGAAATGCCCCTAAGTTTTGGGGGCGGGGGAATTTGGCTAGGAGGATTTTACTTTTAATTATATGTAGATAGATTAATTAGTTATTTATTAATAACATATTTCTTTATTTCCAGTAATATATTCTGATCCATTTTAATCAAGTATTAATTATCATTTCATTTTCCAATTGACTTAATTTTCATGTCATTTTTATTAGCAGGCAATAATTCTTTTTTAATACATATTAATTAGATAATTATTAATATTTTTTTTTATTTCCAGTAAATTATTAATAACAGATACATTTTTTCAATTTACATATACTATTGTTAACCCGTTTCCTTTTCGACATTGTTAAGTTCGGAGATCTTTTTTTAAAAAAAATATTATACCATAATTTGTATATTTCGTGTAATTTTTTATCCCAGTCAATTATTTATTCAATTAACAGATTTCTTTTTCAATTTACATATACTATTGTTTGGGCGGACTTACTATTTTTTTTTTTCATTTTAGTCAATTTGGAATTATTTTTAATTTTAAATCAAGTATTAATAATAATTTCCTTTTCCAATTAGTCTAATTTTCATGCCATTTGTATTCTTAGTTAAATATTTTTTAATACATATCAATTAATTTATAATATAATTATTAATATAATTGTCGTTATATATTTGGAAATTATAGATCTCGTGCCATTTTTTAAAAGGATTCCGTGTCATTTTTAATCAAGTATTAATTATCATTTTTTTTCAATTGGCCTAATTTGCATGTCATTTTTTATTCTCAATCAATAAATTTTTTTAATACATATTAATTAGTTAATTAATAATAATAATTTTTTAATATTTCCAATAAATTTTTAATAATAGATAGTTTCTCGATTTTACATATACTATAGTTAATCTATTTCCTTTTCGACATGGTCAATATGAGGATCTTTTTTTTTCTTAAAATATTATACCACAATTTATACATTTCGTGCTATCTTCAATCAGAGTCAATTATTTTTCCAATTAACAAATTCTTTTTCCAGTTTACTTATACTATTGTTTGGACGGTCCGACCATTTTCTTTTTCATTTGAGTCAATTTGGGATCATTTTTAATTTGTAATCAAGTATTAATAATCCTTTCATTTTTCAATTGGTCTAATTTTCATGTCATCTTTATTCTCAGTCAAATATTTTTTTTAATACATATCAATTAATTTATACTATAATTATTAATATAATTATTGATATATATTCAGAATTTATATATTCCATGCCATTTTAATCAAATATTAATTATTGTTTACTTTTTCAATTGGTATAATTTGCATGCCATTTTTATTCTCAGTCAATGATTTTTTAATACATATTAATTAGTTAATTATTAATAACATACATACATACATCTAAAGCTGACATCTCGGTGTCATTTGTTTTGTAAATCCGTGAATTTATAAAGTGTTAAAATGGAAGACAAAAATTATATATATATATATATATATATATATATATATATATATATAGGGTCAGGTTCCTGTGAGGTCAGGTCTTCCCGTGCGGTTAGTGCGGCATACACCATTAGGTATGCATAAATGCACCACGCAGTGTTCGTAAATACACTATATGTGTGGTGTATATTTTTTTTGTATGGTGCATTTTTTGTCATTTCATTCTGGTGTATTTTCGAACATTATATGGTGCATTTATGCATACCTAATGGTGTATGCCGCACTGACCGCACGGGAAGGCCTGACCACACAGGAACCAAAAAAAGAAAAAAAAAATATATATATATATATATATATATATATATATATATATATATATATATATATATATATATATATATATATAGGCTTCGAATCCGGTGCACCCCTTATACTAGATGAGGTCATGAGGTCTCATCACAACCATTAAGTTACTAGAATTTGATGGATGTGATTGAAAGAGATGTGTTAGATAATTAAGGTTAGAATTTAAAAATAAGGATAAAAGTGTCATTGTAATAGTGTTGTTAATTATGGCTAAAATAAATTAGTAATATTTAACATAATATTAGATGGAATAAGAATGTTAACAAATATAAAGTATCTGTGGATGAGATACGAACATGTAGTATTAGTACGGAAATTTAGTGCTGTAGTGTTTGGGGTCTGTGCGTTTGGAATTGCGGTCTGTGCATCTTGTAATGGCGTGTGCGTGTTCCTGTAATTTGAAATCCAAGGAGTTAAAGAATTATTGGGGGTATGGTTGAATGCATGTTGTTTGCCCGAATATGGAAGAAATTAACTAAATGGGTAGAAGTGGTTTGTTATTGGTTGGGCGTCACGGGAGTAGTATTGAGGGTCTGTGCGTTTGGGATTGTGGTATGTACGTCTGCTTGTTATAGTGTGTGCGTGTTACTATTGTGGCGTGTGCGTTTTGGTGAATTGGAGGTGGAAAATGTTTTTCTTGTAATTCGAGATCCAAGGAACTAAGTTATTATTGGGGGTATGGTTGAATGTATGTTGTTTGCCCGGATATGGAAGAAATTAACTAAATAGGTAGAAGTGGTTTGTAATTTTTGGGCGTCACAAGAGTAGTATTGCGGGTCTGTGCGTTTGGAATTGTGGTTTGTGTGTCTACTTGTAATGGTGTGTGCATGTTACTGTTGTGGCGTGTGCGTTTTGGTGAATTGGAGGTGTAAAATGTTTTTCCTGTAATTTGAGATCCAAGGAGCTAAGTTATTATTGGGGATATGGTTGAATGCATGTGGTTTGACCGTATATGGAAGAAAATTACTGAATGGGTAGAGGTATGGGGGGTATGTGCATTTTTAATTATGGAGTGTGCGTATTCATGTAGTGGTCTGTGCGTGTCATGGATTCGGTTAGTGCGTGTTGGGTAAATTTATTTTGGTAGCAGATGTTTAATTGTCGGTGTGGTGTGCGAGCAATGGAGAAGCGTGTGCGTAATGATGATGGGGCGTGTGCATTTACGCGTTGTGGTGTGTGCGAATGAATCACATATTATGCAATGGGTTTAAATAGATGAAAAGGCAATGTCACACTGGAACCACACGAATTCTGATACTTCTATACAATGAGAAGAAAATCAACTTTTGGAGGCAATTGATTTAAACACATTACACATGTAATGAATTATTGGCAAGAAAGCAACCATTTAATTAAATTGAGTCACTTCAGTTACATCTTGGTTGTGTGAAAGCCTAAATGTCATCCATTAACAACCAATATTCTAGGCAAAAATGGTGAAATATACACCTTGGCAGATAAAAGAGATAAAAGAGTATCTGGCTCTCTCTTCATATGCAGGTCATGATCAATAGAGAAATCCAATCTTTCTGTATACAACTTCAAAAGCTTTGAATATCTCAGCCTCATAAAATTCATACTTCTTATAAGTCTCCATCTTCTTTTCCCAAGTCTCTTTGCTCATTGCCCTGAAGGCATGAACTACTAGAAGAAACTTGTATCTCCATGGGTTAAACCCCATTCCCTGGAGGTTGAAAATCATGAATTACAATGCATGAATGAATTCAAAACATGAATTGTAGTGCAGGTATAGGCAATATATTTAGCAAAACATTTAAATTGCATTTAAGCTTGTTGAATTCAACTTTAAAACTAAGACACATTGTTGAAACAATAATAAACAGTAATGCAAAAAAAAAAACAAAAAAAAAAACAAAACAAAACAAAACATGGCACTCTCTTCTGCTAAGTTGTTTCTAATACTATAACAAGACCACTTGCCATCATTACTCTCAAGGTATGACAATGCTCAAATAGGAAATTTCATTTTGGGGATAAGATCAGAAGAGTGTGAGACAATGCTGAAACTCCTCACAATCTTTATGCTACATCTGGAAAAAAAAAAAGTGAAAATTATCAACCTGGAAAAGATGGGTAAGTCAAATTGAAGAAAGACATCTCAGTTATGAAACTGTCTTTCCAATTCTCAATAATTAGAAAGCAGAAATCTCAGAGAAGGCAATAGTATCTGGAAAAAAAAAAAAAAAAAAAAAACAAGAAGCAGCAGCAGCTAAAACCAAATGTTTGCAAAATAGTAGGGAGTAGTAAGTATTATGGTTCCAAGTGTCAGAGAATACACCAACATTCAAAAAGCATGGAGATCGCAAAGGTGGGGGAGCACATCTACATTAGGTCCTACTAATGTACCTTCGAATGTGGAACATATCCTACGAAGTATCAAAAGAAAAATAAAAAACAAAGAAATATATAGAGTGATCTTGTATAAGGAGGCTAATCTGCTGCCATGTTTCGACACAAATCGTGTGTTTCTGCAAATCAGCCCGGAAAAACTCCTCGGGTTTCCTGGGAAGATAGAGCTGTCATGGAAGAGGTTGAAAAAGGTTGCAGTTTTGAGGAAAGAAAGTAGGCTACACAGGCAATTAAACAAAGGAATCTGCCATCAAGATTACTAACCCACACGCCAACACCCACCGACCGGAGAAAAAACAACAAAAACGCTCACATTCACATACTCTTACGCCTACCCCCAAAACCCCAACTGTAAGAAACAACCAATACCTTCGAACCACCACAAACCAAGACCCCATACGTTCAGAGGAAAAAAAAAAAAAAAAAAAAAAAAAAAAAAAAAAAAAAGGCGAACACTAACCCAGAAATCGTACACCACTCACTATAGCACTCGCCGCAGCCCCCCCCCCCCCCAAACCCTAAGAACACCGATGAATGCCAAAACCATCCCGGTGAAACCCCCAAAAAAAACACGCACTGAAGAACTACAACGCAAGCAAAATACAAAAACCTAAATCCCAACCCAAAATCCGTTCGGAACTGTAGCAAACCCACAAACCCCCAGCAAAAAAAAGATCCCGAAACAAACAAAAAAAAGGAAAAAAAAACGGAGAAAATAGTACCGGCACCGGAAGCAGAAGAGACGCCCTAAGCCGCTTGGACTGCCGCCTGCTAGAACCAGCCATGGAGGTTCTTCGGACGTTGTGTGTACCGGAGGGATGAGAAGAATGGAAGGGCCGCGAGGAACGAGGAGGCTGCGGAAAAGAGATTAAGGGGAGAGAAACCTAAAATCAATCCTATTTTATCTACTCATACACGCAAATCAACCGGCTGAATTTATGACTTGTCATAATAAAACACAAAGAGGAATGACAAAACCACCCCTACACCAGGCGCACGTGAATCTTATTAGCCCACCATCTCAACCGTTAAAAAAACATCATCAACGATCACGGAGTGTGCTTACGGACTCGGCTAAGTAGGGGGTGTGCACCGGATTCAAAATCTATATATATATATATATATAGGCGGGTTCAGGTGCGGCAGTGTCTTACGGTGCGGTTATTTCTTACGGTGCGGCAACACCAATAGTTCACCAAATATGCACCATCAACGTTAGGAAATACACCACACAAAACAGAGTAAACAGAGCCCTGCATCACCAAACACACACCATTAGGTGTGAGTAAAAACACCATACACTGTTCGGAAATACACCATTGGGGGTGGTGAGTTATATGGTGTATTTTTTTGAGTCTGTGGTGTATTTTGTGATGTTTTATTACATTTCATTGGGGTGTGTTTTTATTACACTGTTGGTGTATTCTGGAATTTGACCGCACCGCCGCACCGTAAGACCCCGCCGCATATGAGCGCTCTTATATATATATATATATATATATATATATATATATATATATATATATATATATATATATTATATATTTTTTTTTTTTTATTTTTTTTTTTTTTTGGATCCGGTGAGGTTAGTATTGGCAGGCAAGGTCGTGAGGCCTAATCTTGTCCGTTTATTTTCAGATTTGGATGCTCCAGATTTAATACCTTGTATTAATGTTTGCGCTGGTTTATTAATAAGTTTAGGGCCATTAACGTCATTTTGGTTGTATCTTTAATAGGCAGTAAATTATTTACCCGATTTTATGGGCCTGTCCAAGTTAATTATGGTTTAATTAAGTTGTTATGTATCTTCACAATTCTATTTACCATCTCCTCGCATTCCTCACTTTGTCTACTGTGCTCTTCTCTGCCATTCTCTCTCGCCGGTTGCAGTCACATCCGCGCTGCTTCTCTTCTCCGTCCGGGATCTTCAGGGAAGCGACGACGCCAGTACACGTTGCCGTACTTCCATTCGATATGGCCGGTTCTTCAATCCTTCGGGATAAGCGTCAAAGGGGTGGTTCTTCCGTATGCAATCCAGGTATTCCGATATCCTCCCTGGTTTGATTGGGTCGCTTTCGTGGTATTGCATGTGTTTATCGGCGATGGCCAAAAATTCGGGGGTTTTGGGGGTGGATTGTTGCCGGATAGTAGGGTTTTTTTGGGGGGATTTTCTACGATTATTTTGCCTCGTTTTCTTTTTGCTGGTTTGGTTGAATATTTTCGGGTAATGGCAGGTCGGGGGGCTTCCGGTGGTTGATGGACGATGGGGTGAGTATGTATTCGTCCGGGGGGAGGTGGGTGCGTTATAGGAGGTCGGCGTGTGCGATCGGTGTTTGTTGTTCGGAGTATTGTAAACCAAGTTAACTTGCCCAGATTAATAACTTGATATGTATTTTGGGTTCTCGTATTGTGCTGGTTTGGGTTTTTTTTTTTTTTTTTTTTTTTTGGGGGGGGGGGGGGGGGGGGGGTTTAGGGGTAAAGGCCGTGTCTGGCCGGCATGTTATTTGCATATCCGTGGTTTGGCGAGTAAGGGTGGGGGGGTGTTGGTTTGATTGTACTGGTGCGGTGATTGGCAGTGGGGGGATGGGGTTCTGAAAGGGAGTTGTGAGTTGGTGATTTTATTCGTGGATTTTTTTAAAAAAAAATGTTCTCATGTTATTCGCAGCTGGGAGTGTGGCTTTGGTTTTGTTTTTTTGCTTTTTAATGGTTTTCTTTTACTTGTTTTCGTGTATTTGGTGCGGTGATTTGCATCTAAACTAGTTTAAATGGGGTGTGTGTGCGGGTTTTGTGCATACATATCGTGTGTGTTTAATTTTGCCGTGTATGCAACCCGACCTTTGTTTTTTTGTTTTCTTATTCTCTGTTGTTGGACCTTTATTTTGGTGCGTTCAGTGTCGTTGTTTGGTGTTTGGTGCAGTGTGCGTATAGTTCTTATGGTGGGTGCGGCTTCCTATTGTGGTTAAAAATAGGCTTTTGTATTTCATTTTCATTTGTGGTCATTGGGTTGGGTTTGGATTTGTGGGAAAACAGTTTAATAATGCAGTGTGCATTGCGTACTTATGGTGTGTGCGTCTTATGTCTGTGCATTACGGGTTATAGCATGTGAGCAATTACATTGATTGTGGGGAATAATTTGTGCACTTGTTTGCTCAAGGTGTGTTGTAATTTTCGTTTTAAGTTCATTTTCGTTATAAATACGTTTTTGTATTTCAGTTTCATTTTGGTCACCGGGTTTGGGTCTTTGAGCTGTGTGCACTGTAGGTTTATGGTGTGTGCTTCTTTATCACTTTTATTTATTTTGTATTAGTTCATTCTGGGTTTTCGTTCAAGAGTATACATTACTGACTATGTGCAGTAGTTCGTCTAGGGTTGTTTATTTGTGTTTTTGGTGTGCAGTTCATTATTATGGCACGTGCGAATTACTTTGGTGGTGAGTTTGTTTCATCTATTATTTTGGATTATGAGGTGTTTGCAATGCGTCACATGGAGACGTACGTATGCCAGTCGATTGCTTCGTGGGATTGTGGCCTGACTAGGGGGATGCACGTGCGTTACTCGCCTTGTGCGTGCAGCATGTTTTTGAAATTCTTATGTTTCAGAGCAATACACGTCTACAAGCGATCGTCAGCAGTGTGGGCGGTCGTCCTTGAACATCACGATACATTTCATATTTTCTGTAGCCGCATTTCAAACTTTTGCATACACTTCAGTTTTAAATTTGCATGTTAAATATTTTCCTTGGCCGCATTTCAAACTTTTGCAAAACATTTCATTGTTAAATTTGTTAAAACATTTCGATATTACTACGTTGTGCACTCATATGTTGTATTGAATGCAGTTACTTTATCCTTTACGTTTTTATGTATACCATTATTAATGCAGGTTGTAAATGCGAATGTGTATGCACAGGCTATCTCATTTTCATGCACAAGCCTAGGGCAAATTCTTCATACCTTCACGTCTATATGTACGCAAAACCATCATTTAAAATCATTTTAAGAAGCTGTCTCAATGGAAAAATCCTTCTAATTCGCACCAACGCACCCATAAATCGGCATGCCACATTATCCTGCTCACATTAAACTAACACTCTAAATCGCACCAACGCACCCATAAATCGGAATGCCACAATATCCAGCTCATATTAAACTAACACCTATTCGCACACTGCTCCATACGCTAACGCATACACCTTTTTGAGCAGTTTACACATACATTTGTGACCGTCATCCAACTCAACCTACTACACTTGCACTAACCGTGTGATTCCCACGCACAGACCACCAAAACCCAACAACACTGCCCCCTTAATTTGTTCTCCATGACTTATTACGCAGTTTTATTTGGTCGCACATGATGCACACGCATGTACAATTCGTCGTCTAATGGAGAATTTATCAATTTATAATTGTTTGTCAATCTCAATAAAGGCTAGGGCATATTTCGCCTTAAATAACACCACACCATCATCAACTCACACAACCAGCGTTTTAAAATGCAAACATTATTGGGCTACTCAATAATAACAAACTAGTGTCATAACTACTTTTGTGGGCAGCTTCGGCTATTTTTTCTTAACCTACTCCATCATTGCTACCTCCCTAGCTGATTTCAGCCGTTTGCCCGACCCTTTGTTTTTTGCTATGGAGGTGGGTGCACTTCTATCACCTCTGGGGCTGGAACACTGCAATACGATCCCATAATTGCATGTTTCCCAAATTCAGACGTCCCGGCCCTTGTTCTTCCCCCGCCCCTAATGTCGCTTCAAACGCTTCCATCCACTATCTCATCTGTTGCAGTTTGTCTGGTCTTGCTTTAGCCATGCCTAAACATCTATGAAATATGTTTATTAGTTGTCCTTCCTCACTGTTTCACATATCTTGCACTCTCATTACAAATACAGTGCATAGCCTTTACAGTAACTTGCACATGCAACTACACTAACTTGCACATGCAACTACCCTAACTTGCACACCCTAAAACAAAATTTGTACACACTATTAAACTTTATTGGAAACGCTAGACTAAACATACAAGACATCTTGCACAGACATTATGCTAACATGCATACGCTAGAAACATATAAATATCACATAGCCTCCACTTGTATTAAAATTGAATTGCTCATAATATATACAATCTATCATTAAAATTGAATTGCACAGTATTACAAAACACTTTCACATATATTGCACTCTCATTATGAATACAGTGCATACACTTTACAGTAATTTGCACAGGCTACTACACAAACTTGCACATGCTATTACACAAACTTGCACAACTAAAACATAATTTCCACACGCTATTAAACTATTTTGGACACGCTTACCTAAACATGACTGACATCTTGCACAGACTGTATTCTAACATGCAAATGCTAAAAACATATAAGTAGCACATACCTTCAATAATATTAAAATTGAAAAGGCTAAACTCAATTACCGAGAAATCTTGCACAGACATAACACGAACTTGCACAGACCACATGTAGACTTCAGGAACACACACTTCAGGCCACAAAATGAATAGCGTTTGTTACTGTTAATATATATCTAATCATATTGCCATACGGATGGTATGTATCCCAATTGATTTGTAACCAAAAATAGTTTAAGAATACAATGACTAATTCACCCTTATGCTTAGACTACTACCTTAAATATATAAGAAATCTCATTCAATCTCAACCTTCTATTTGTAATAATTTAATGGATGGGATGAGATCTCATGACCTCATCCATATAAGTGACCTCATGGGATCCGGAGCCTATATATATATATATATATATATATATATATATATATATATATATATATATATATATATATATATATATATTATTTCCAGTAATATATTCTATGCCATTTTTAATCAAGTATTAATTATTATTTTCTTTTCAAATTGATCTACTTTTTCCAGTAATATATTATGTGCCATTTTTAATCAAGTATTAATTATCATTTCCTTTTCAAAGTGATCTACTTTTCATGCCATTTTTTCTCAGTCAATGATTCTTTTTAATACATATTAATTAGTTAATTATCAATAACAAATTTTTGTAATATTTCTATGTTGAAGTAATTTTATAATACTAACAACTACTGTTACTGTAAATAAGTTTCATGTGTAAATACGATATGTAACCTTTATTCATTTTAAAGATTTGTTATGTAATAACTATATAGGAAACATTGCGATATTACAATTGAAAAAAAAAAAAAGAATATACTATTATTTTATTGATTTTCAAAAACATACTATCAATTAAATAAGATTTGATATTTAAAATGAGTAATTAGCTAAAATAATAAACTTTTAATACATCGTATTAATTAAAATAAATAGTTATTACAAACATCTTAGTAAGTTACATTAGTAGGTAAACTACAAAAGAAAATATATATTCTCATTTATCAGTAATTCCGATTACACCAAGACTAATTAATCTATATATTAATTGTGCAAGTTAGGTGTTGCCACATCCTTTAATTTACTAACATCCATGTTAATTTGTCCAATGTCTAAACTCATGACTCATCTGTATAATCTTCATCATCATCACAATAAAATTAAAAAGAATATGATAGTTGTTAATTCATCCAATGTCTAAACTCATAAATACAATCTTTATCGCAATAAAATTAAAAAGAATATTATGATAAAGAATTAGATATGATACATCTACATTCAATTTTCATGCATGAAATATTTTCACAAAATAAAAATAAAGAAATTAATAAATGTAATATACAAACAACTTGCTAAAGTGTTTACCTGAAATAGTTGTGAAATATTACATTTTTTAAAATAAAACTACCAATAAAATATACTTTATTAAATTTATATTCTACTTTTTTCAATATATGCAATTGCATCATTGCATGTATATTAATAAGAACTAAATATGAAACTTTTGATTTTCATTTACATGATTGTATAGTAATTAACTACCAATGCAAAACAAATTTAAACCATATACATATAAAACAAACTTCTGAGGATTATTTGTTCCAATTTTTGGTTGATATATATTGGTATATCTTTTTCGTAGATATACATATATATATATATAATCGTTGGATCCATTGTATATATATTTGTGTGTATATATATATTTCGGACAAATATTAAATAATATTTTATATACTTGTGTGTGTATATATAAATATTATTTTACGATATTAAATCAATTTTGGTTCATTATCACCAACAACTTGACTAGGAGGATTTTACTTTTATATATATATAGATATAGATGTTTTCCATAACTTTTCCTGTCTCAATTAATATTTGCCCCTTTCTCTCATGAAATTGAGTTTGAGGGGAGATAGAATAGAATGCAAGATGTGAAATTCAATGAAATATTAAGATGCAGTTTATGACAATTTATAATTATTCTTGGTCATGTTGTTTTTTTTTCCTAATAAATAATTAAATATTTTGATTATGATAATGCAACATGTGAAAATCCAACATATTATATTGAATGATAACTCCTTGAAAAAAAAAATCTTAATTTGATTACTCCACATTTTATACCAACAACGTACAGGTCTCAAAGCACATGAAAAGGAGGTGACATATTGCTAATAATAATATTTTTTTTTAAAGCAATAATAATATTATTATTGTTGTTGTTGTTGTTGTTGTTGTTGTTGTTGATGAGATCAATTTTACGAGTGAACTCCATTTTTGGTCATACTGTTATAGGGGTTTTTCCAATTTTAGTCCACCATAATTATTTTTGCCACATTGCGTCCACTATTATTAAAAGTGTTCCAATTTTAGTCCATTTTAGATTTTTAGTGGACTAAAATTGGAACACTTTTAATAATAGTGGACGCAATGTGGTAAAAATAATTATGGTGGACTAAAATTGGAATGACCCCTATAACAGTAGGACCAAAAATGGAATTCACTCCAATTTTACATATGTTGTTGTTGAGATCAATTTTATCTTATATGTAAAAGAAACTTAAATAACTATATTCTTAACTTATAAGCTTAAAAAATCTTTAAAATAAAAGTAATGTAAGTCTGAACTATCAAAATCCGACCCAACTCAAATTACATGAAGGGTGGACCATAAAGCAATACGACATTTGAATAATTTTAAGAAAAAATCATTACCGTAAACAATTGTAGACAACAAATTCCGATAAGGTCCATGTAGTAGCCTTTCTTATCTTCGTTGCGATATTCTCATAAGTTTCACTTATCTTTGTTTATCTTCTCAATATCTCCCATATTTGTTTCATAAAGTGTATTCTCAGAGTTTTATCGACCATGGATCAATCGACAGATAGAAGTAACCATAGTTCAATAATTGTGTGGATCATTCAGTTTCATTTAATACACATAGTAGTTTCACTACACCACCACTAAAGTATCATTCTAATTCAACGTAACTACAATTTCATTTGACAATATATACTATATAAGAGACATGCTATTCAATTTAATTTTATACACATTATAATTTCATTAATTACAACATTACTAATATATCATTCTAATACAACTACAATTTCATTTGACAATATACATGCACCCAATATATGACACATACTATTCAGTTTCATTTTATACACATCATAATTAATTTCATTACAACACTATAAAGTATCATTCAATTCTAATTCAACTACAATTTTATTTGACAATATACGCTCAATATGTGAATCCTACTCTATTCAGATTCATTTTATACACATTGTCTCATCCTTTTGTTGTCTATATTTTGTGTTGTGGTATATATTAGAGGGGATTCTTTCGTATAAACTGGTTTATTAGTTTTCTCCACTATTTAGCTAGTGATAATATTTGATGGATATGAAGTGCTGCTATGTTCTTCTACAAGTGCAAGAAACAAAAACTCTACAAGTGCTGTTATTGTTATCTTGAAGACTTAAATTGTCCCACGAACTCCAGTCACAGTAGCACTTTTTTATACTAATATCTGGCCTATTTATTTACCTTTTGACCTCCCTGTCAAGCCTCTTTGTCTCTGTTCCTTTTTTGCACTCACGTATTAAACTTGTGCTGTTAGGAAATCTTTAAATACGCATAAAGGCTCAGTGATATTTGCCCATGACATTTTCAGATGGTTTTCCTTGTATTCTGTGCTTTCGCTATAGTACTCGAGATAATCTATCACAGTTTTGCTCTTAATGATGCATTCGCTTTGACTCTTTTGCCCTTACCGATGCATCGGCGGTTAATAGGGCCGGTAAAATCGGTTCATCTTCCGGTGGACAGTGGCCTGTAAACGACATCTGCTTTCGTCAGCCACGTTTTGGCCATCTCTTCTCGACCATACCGACTGTAGTGATGAGATGACTTTGGCCAACACTGATATTTATTATTTTTTTCATTACATTTGTTTTTTTTCGTCCTTTTATCGCCGTTAGTCAGTTTGCACCATACTTATCTTCTGTACCTCTGTACTTTTCGGCACAATTGATTGTTTTTTATTTCATTAGTTTTTTTTTTTTTTTGTCCTTTTATCGGCTTTGCTCAGCTTCCACCATACTCATCTTCCGCAATCTGTACTTATTTCTCGCGATATTGGGGGATTTCGTGGTCGTATCTGTAGGTGAACGTCAGTTCTGCACGTTTGCTTATTCTATCGTTTGCTTGTCGTGGGAAGTGGTTGACAACTTCTTTATATATATATATATATATATATATATATATATATATATATATATATATATATATATATGGTGTGTGAGATAAAGTCTCGGTGTTTGGATGCTTCTATCATTGTGCTGGTCTGGACTTAACAGAGCGAGGTATGTTTACCCTGTTTCTCTTTTACTGTTGGCTATAAGGTCGCTTCTTATCCGGTATATTTATTGATGATTGATGATGTTGATGATATTTATTGACCCTTGGCGACGAATGCATTCATTTTGTGCGGTTTTTTATTACCGGTCAGCTGTTCTTGTGTAACTCCCGTCTAGTACTCTTTCGTTTTTCCTTTTCTTATTTACTGTTCTCTGTACTGTATTCGGGGTCATTTATTGCTGGTATTCATGTTGCGTCTTTGTGTGATTATGTGATGGTTTGTATTAAATGGCGCAGCTTTTCGCTTCCTATGTTTATCGTCTGTTGACATGTGTTCTACACGTTTGTTAGGTTTGGTCGGCGGTGCATGCTGTTCGTGCTATCTCTGCTTATGCCCCTACTTTAGTCGCTCTCATCAACTCTGCCGGTTTTTTTCCTTAATATTGGATTCTCTTTGATTACCTACACCGCACATTTGCGTTAAAAATTTCAAGCTGAACGTCTTTTGTTCTATCAGTCTACGTTTGATAAACTTTCGAAACTGACCGTCTCTTGTTCTGTCAGTCGACGCCTGCTTGCTGGTTATATGGTTCGCGATTTGAAATTCTTCTGTAGATGCCTTCTGCACAAGCGTCTAAGTCGTTCACGGCGTACGCTTTTCTTCCATGTATTGAGCCTGGTCTTTCCGTTGTCCTTGTCCTATCATGGACACCCGCGTCCTATTCGCAAGCTGTGTTCTTCCTTCATTCCGACTACTGTTACTCCCTTTACTTTTCCTGTGAGTTACCTGATTACTGAGTGTTTATTGTTCGCTGTTGGAAGCTGTCCACGCGTTCTGACCCCGGTGGCTGCTCGTTGCAGTGACATTCTTAGATAAACGGACTTCGTTTGCATATAGGCAGTATTTTGACGTTCTTTGTATACTTGTCCTTTGGTATGGTTATACCATGCTTCGTCCCGTACATTGTAAAATTGTGTTATTACTAATAGATGGCCAGTTTTGGTGGAAACTTTGTACTTATGCCGGTATGCAGTCAAATTTTAGCTCATATTAATAGATTGTCGGTTTTGACGAGATCTTTTTGCTTATGTCGTTTTGGACCGACTGTTTTTCAGTCCATCTTACTTTTTGTTGTTCTTTGCTGGTTTGCATGTGCCGGCCATTTTATCTGGAAATTGATCATGTGTGCCGTGAGATTATTTAGTTTGCATGCGTGTGCGCCTTTATTTTTCGTTATTCGTTAGCTTCAAATTAAATCGCTAATCGAAACGAATCTGTTATTCTGTATGTGCCTTTTCCAAGAGATTTATCTGCATGTTCCATGCGCTACGGTATATTTTTTTTCTGCATCTGTTTAATTACGTCGTTATTACTGCCAATTGTTACTTATACGTCCAAAACTATGCAACTATGTTTTAGAACGTCTGTTGTTTTATTTAACCTTAAACAACAACCGATTGTATAGTGTGCTGGCTATTTGTGTCCTTGCCATGGGAGCTTCTCCTGTTAGCCAGACCGTTGTAGGTCGCTTCTGCTGTTACATTGTTTGCGACGTATTCGCTTGGTGGTTTGCTTCGCTGGAATTTAACTTCTCTCCCACATCTTTTTTGCGACCAGATCTCTACTGATTGTGCCATTTGTTTTTCGTTGACCGTCACTTTTCACAGATTGTCCATTATACGAACACCGTTCTTTTCTGTTGTTACTGCTCTTCTTGTTTGTTGGCTTTCTTTGACGAGATTTCCTGTTTCTGCTGGTGTCCGCTTTTTTCTGTCTGCCTACGGGTCTCTTGGTGATGTTATCGGTAGTGCCGTCTGATGGGGGCCGTGTGTCTGATTGTTGCCGTGTGTCCAGATTTCAATACCTTATGCATGCAATCGATGTCTCGTTGTGTGACTGTGTCGCCGGTTCAATTGAGTGTCGTTGTTCAACTTGTCGCGTGTGGCTCTTTGAATTGTGACGTCCTTGGTTCTGTCCTATCTACTGATGGTAGCGGCGGACTACTATTCAATTGCTGAAAACGTTGCGGTCTACGACTTCTGATATCTTGCCTTTTACGGATGCGCTCTGTGGATAATCTTCTTCCGGCATGGTTATTCTGTATCGTTAGCCATTGTGTGACTGGAAGATGATTGTTTGCGGGTCTGATAGCGCGTTAATTTGATTGCTCGCGCTAATGTCTTCGTTACAAATCTAGCTGCGTTGTATACATGCGTGCTTGTAGTTGTTGTGTACAATTGTTTCCAACGGAATATCATGACTTCCTGCTGTTGAATTTGGTTCGAAATGTTGTCCCCTGCTGAGAGAATAAGCAATCAACAAAAAAATTAATAATATATCAGTTGCAAATATACGTCACTTACATGACAACAATGGCCATGTGCATGACATTTTTTACAAGTAAGTTTACCTGTGACCTAAGCAATTGAGTTACTGTTTTTTTGTTCCTTTATAATTATGCTTATGATTTTGTAAACCATGGAAGGCTTGGTGTTGATACATGACGCCACCCATCAGTTGCAGAATTGGAAATGTAAAGTTTTAGTTGTCAAAAAAAATAATACCCGTGAGTCGAAGT